AGTTTCTATTTATAGTAACAGTGACCTTGACCTTTGGACCTGAAAATCAATCCCAAGCAAGCACTGCATGAAGTTTGAGTTTGATCGGCCCAAGCAAACTCAAGTTATCGCACGAAAACAGATTTTCTATTTATAGTAAGTGACCTTGACCTTTGACCTTCGGACCTGAAAAGCAATCCCAAGCAAGCACTTTTGGTAAGGAAGCACTGCATGAAGTTTGAGTTTGATCGGCCCAAGGAAACTCAAGTTATCGCACGAAAACCTCTGCTCGGCCGACGCCGACAAAGCAATACCTGTGTCACCAGCTTTTCGCAGGCAACACAAAAACCATCTTATTCAATATCTAACATACAGATTTAAGACTAAAAAGTATTTGAAACTAGCACCTGTGATTCTAAACAAGGAAAATGAAGAATTTTTTAGCACACAGACTCCTTTGTGCCCCACCCTACAGCCCTTGGGTGTAGGGCTGGCTCAAAATTTTCAAAGTATCAAACTGTCAACTCAGGGTTATAATTCCAATCAAGTTATTAACATGTAATATTCAAAGTATCATTTGCCATTATAAACCATGATACATTTTGCCTTGCCCCCCCCCCCCCCCCCTTCCCCAGAAGGTAAACGTTAGACTCTAGGGTCATAAACCTTAAGACCCTTCCATCTATGAAGAGTGTTTGATTCTACCATATCTGGGTCTTTGAAAAGACAATTTTTGAAATTTCAGTCAATTCAACCCTGCCCCGGGGGGTCAGTCAGGGCTGATATGTGCATACCATCAAACTGCTAACTAATACTGATAATGCTAACCTAAATTGAATTACTTCCAATGGAAATTAAACAAATGTTGGTCCAAAATGTGATTTCCCTATATGAACTTTAGTAAAGTTTACCCCCTCCCAAGGGGGAAACGTGAGACCCCAGGGTCAAGAAATTTACAATTTTGATAGAGCACCTTAAGACCGTTCCAATCTATGAAGCGTGTATGATTCTACCATATCTGGTTCTTGAGAAGAAGATTTTTGAAATTTCCTTCAATTCAACCCTTTTTGGCCCCACCCATCAGCCTCGGGGGGTCAGTCAGGGCTGATATGTGCATACCATCAAACTGCTAACTAATACTGATAATGCTAACCTAAATTGAATTACTTCCAATGGAAATTAAACAAATGTTGGTCCAAAATGTGATTTCCCTATATGAACTTTAGTAAAGTTTACCCCCTCCCCAGGGGGAAATGTGAGACCCCAGGGACATGAAATTTACAATTTTGGTAGAGCACCTTAAGACCGTTCCATCTATGAAGCGTGTATGATTCTACCATATCTGGTTCTTGAGAAGAAGATTTTTGAAATTTCCTTCAATTCAACCCTTTTTGGCCCCACCCATCAGCCTCGGGGGGTCAGTCAGGGCTGATATGTGCATACCATCAAACTGCTAACTAATACTGATAATGCTAACCTAAATTGAATTACTTCCAATGGAAATTAAACAAATGTTGGTCAAAAATGTGATGTTCCTATATGAACTTTAGTAAAGTTTACCCCCTCCCCAGGGGGAAACGTGAGACCCCAGGGTCAAGAAATTCACAATTTTGGAGATGCACCTAAAGACCCTTCCATCTATGAAGAGTATTTGATTTTACCATATCTGGGTCTTGAGAAGAAGATTTTTGAAATTTTAGTCAATTTGACCCTTTTTGGCCCCACCCTTCATGAGCCCCCTGGGGGCCAGGGACCAAACCGGCTTCTCTTTTTGTTGACCTTTGGCCATGGAAGGTTTCTGCAAAATTTCATTGAAATTGGTTTAAGGGTTTTGGAGAAGAAGTAGAAAATGTAAATTGTTTACGGACGTACGCCTGACAAAAGGTGATCGTAAAAGGTCCCTTGAGACTTTGTCTCAGGTGACCTAAAAACTAAATAACTGAATACAAATGAATGGTCTGAGAACATTGTCCCGATTACACTTACTTGATGTGTGTCACAGATCTCGGACACAGAGATATAAATGACTGGTTTGGTGATGGTTACGATGTCTGAATACTGGTCTACATTAAACTTTGGCTCCAATTCCTCCACATCACACGCCATCATACAGTAATGTCTGTCAAAACCAGAAAATATATTTAATAGGTTATGATAGCCATTTACACTGTTTACTTTCTCCCTCTGCCTCCAAAAGGGTGGGGCAAGTGGCACCTCCTTCATTTATATGCAAACATGAGTAAATATCCCATTGTCCAAAGGATGCTTCATATTAAACAAGAGGCCTAGAGGGCCTGTATCGCTCACCTGGATACAGTGCAGGACATTCGGCTGGCCCGATATATTTTTTTTGGGCGAGTACAATTTTTTTTCCACAGGCCCAAAATGAATATTGGTAGCCCAAATATTTCACTAAGATTATTTTCAGTGTTGAGCAATTAAAAAATGCCAATAAAACAAATCAAATAGATGTTTTTTATTCTTCAATTAAACCCTCCCGACAAAACAAAATTAAAAGACATTTGTAAATGTAATATTTTCAGCTAAGGGAAGCTAACTACTCAAATTAAATTATGAAAAATAAAAATGTGTTCGTCTTGGGGCAACGCCATGACACGATTGGGATGAAAAGTATGTTATTTTTTATACTTTAAAGAAATGGGTATTCCGGAGTTGGGTTGGTTAATTTATGGGAGTAAACTACAATTTTGATAATAATAATGTACTCGCTAAAGATTTATTTTTGGGCCAGTAACATCCATCTTTTGACAATTTCTAGTCGCCCAATCAAGGTTTTGGTCGCCTTTGGTGACCAGGCGACCCGCTGTGTCCAGCAATGTGGATATCTAAGGCCAAATTTAATTACTTGGTTCTCAGGCCTGCGCGCATTTAATTTTAGGGCACCGCATTGACGATTTTATCGTGAAAGTAATAAAAACAAGAGGCCCATGGGCCTTAACGGTCACCTGATATATTTATACAGAGTTGATTTTGTTTTTAACATGAACTCAAGTTATCGAACGAAAACAGATTTTTCTATTTATAACAACAATGACCTTGACCTTTGACCTTCGGAAAAATCGTCGAATCAAAATTCTTATAGGGGCACACAACTTCATATCATGATTATAAAGTATACCAAGTTTCAAAGAGATCCGTTGAAAAATGTAGGAGGAGATTGCCGGACAAAAATCAAATACTGAAATGAACAAAGGGCAATAGCTTTTGGAAAAATTGTCGAATCAAAATTCTTTTAAGGGAGACACAACTTCAAATCCTGATTATAATGTATATCAAGTTTCAAAGAGATCGGTCGAAAATATGTAGGAGGAGATTGCCGGACAAACAATGTTTACGCCGGACGGACGGACAGACAACGCCATACCATAATACTAACGTCAAATTTGAAGGTCGTATAAAAACGGTCGTTCCCAGATAAACCCCGTTCTGCTAAAGTATCTGTGTGTGTTGGGCGACAAAAAAATGTTTCAAAGTTATGACCCAAGGGTTAAGTCTCCATGTGTAGGGCAGACCCTGGGGCCATCCTGGAAACATATGTGCGCTCATCTATTTATACTCAGCAATTGTATATTTGGTTAAAGGGTGGGGATCTCAACTGTTTCCAAGATGTGATTCAGAAACTAGGTCCCTAGGGTTGTGGTCAGACCCCAGGATCAATTCAAATATCATTACTGCATTCGCCTCTTTATACCCAGCATTTGTATTTATAGTTCTTGGGTGGGGATCTCAACCGTTTCAAAGTTATGACCCAGGGGTTAAGTCTGAAAGGGTGGGGCAGACCCTGGGTTCAATTCTAATATCATGACTTTATTTGTCTTTTTATGCCCAACAACTGTATATACATCATTAGTATTTCTCGTATAAATATACATGGACTTCTTTCTATACAGATAAACATGTCTCTGTAAACAAAGTAACAAACGTAACTTACTTGAATTTTTCATGAGCCTCTCGAATATAGCTGTTCATGCTGGAGAGGTAGGCACTCTCGCCACCAAACTGGAACAAACAAACTTCGGTTCTGACATTTTCACTCTTTCAAAATAGATTTTCAAAATGGCAGCCACGACAACCATCTTGAATGACTTCACAGACTCATTACGTTTCATTTAAATCTCTTCAGCAGAACTGGAGATTAAGTCCAAAATAGATTTTTATGATAGATATTGAACTGATCCACAAATAAGAACACTTACTTTGTCAGAATCATATTCTTAACATTCTTATAATTTTTATTATAATCCCTTCAGCAGGAACAGTAAGTTACATTTCAAAATGGCAGCTATCTTGGATATCCTATCAACCTGACAGATGACATTACGAATGGTTAGGACTGTTCTAATAAGGTTTAAATCCCTTCAGTAGTATAGGTGTTAAGGACTGTTCTGATAAGGTTTAAATCCCTTCAGTAGTATAGGTGTTAAGGACTGTTCTGATCTGGTTTTATTTAAATCCCTTCAGTAGTATAGGTGTTTAGGACTGTTCTGATCAGGTTTAAATCCCTTCAGTAGTATAGGTGTTTAGGACTGTTCTGATAAGGTTTCATTTAAATCCCTCCAGTAGTATAGGTGTTTAGGACTGTTCTGATCCGGTTTTATTTAAATCCCTTCAGTAGTATAGGTGTTTAGGTGTTTAGGACTGTTCTGATCAGGTTTTATTTAAATCCCTTCAGTAGTATAGGTGTTTAGGTGTTTAGGACTGTTCTGATTAGGTTTTATTTAAATCCCTTCAGTAGTATAGTTGTTTAGGACTGTTCTGATCAGGTTTTATTTAAATTCCTTCAGTAGTATAGGTGTTTAGGACTGTTCTGATAAGGTTTCATTTAAATCCCTCCAGTAGTATAGGTGTCTAGGACTGTTCTGATCCGGTTTTATTTAAATCCCTTCAGTAGCATAGGTGTTTAGGTGTTTAGGACTGTTCTGATTAGGTTTTATTTAAATCCCTTCAGTAGTATAGTTGTTTAGGACTGTTCTGATAAGGTTTTATTTAAATCCTTTCAGTAGTATAGGTGTTTGAGTTAAAAATGTAAAATGTTAATGGATAACACACAAAGATGGATGGTAACAGATCTCCGCGAGTCTTTGGTTCAGGTGACTTAAAAAGTAGCAATAAAGGATTTCCATGGACACATGCAATGCACGTAGAGAATTAGGGAATCTTGGGTTGTATCCTACTGGTGATGGGCCATCAGTTTAAAACCATAATCATTAATAGGTTAGTAATATGAAAGTAGTAAACCAATGGATGATTGACTGCATAATGGGTTTATAATGTTAGGGGACTGAATACCCAAATACAGTGAGAACACTACTATAACCTCAGTATATATAGTTGTTCACTATACATCTGGTTTCATTCTTTAATGAATGGATTTCAAGCAACTTTATGCAGTAAATCATATGGTAACAAGAGGACCAGAGGGCCTATATCGCTCACCTGAATATGTTAAAAATAATTGGTATTAAGTAAACATATAGCACTCCATGGCAGGTGCTGTAAGTACATACGAATTTCAGAAAGATCCATTCAGTACTTGAGATATAGCGAGAACAAACTTCAAACAGAGGCTGCCCCTATGCCCCTAGGGGGGGGGGTGTCATACCCACCAATTATACAAAATTGAGACCCCTTGGCCCAAGGATGCTCCAGACTCAATAAGGATAAAATCCTTTAATCCTGATGGTCGAAGAAGGATTTTAAAGGTTTTACCACTTTTTCTCCTATTGGGCCCCTTCCTTTTACCCCCTGGGAGACGACACCCAGTGCTTATACAAAATTGAGCCCCCTTGGTCCAAGGATGCTCCAGACTAAATTAGGATAAAATCCCTTAATCCCTATGGTAGAAGAAGGATTATAAAGGTTTTACCTCTATTTCCCCTATTGGGCCCCACCCCTAAGGTCCCAGGGGGGCCACACCCAATGTTTATAGAAAATTGATTCCCCTTTACCCAAGGATGCTCCACACCAAATATGGACCAAATCTTTTCATTCCTACAGAAAAAGAAGGATATTAAAGAATTTGCTATATTTCTCCTATTGGGCCCCACCCCTAAGCCCCCAGGGGGCCAGACCCACGGTTTATACAAAATTGGTTCCCTTTCACCCAAGGATGCTTCAGACCAAATATGGAACAAATCATTTCAATCCTACAGAAGAAGAAGGATTTTAAAGAGTTTACTATATTACCTGTATTGGGCCCCGCCCCTCAGCCCGAAGGGGGGCCAGACCCACCATTTATACAAAATTGAGTCCCCTTGGCCCAAGGATGCTCCAGACTAAATTAGGATAAAATCCCTTAATCCCTACGGTAAAAGAAGGATTTTAAATGTTTTACCTCTATTTCCCCTATTGGGCCCCGCCCTTCTGCCCCCACAGGGGGGGGGGCACACCCACCGTTTATACAAAATGGAATCCCCTTGGCCTAAGGATGCTCCAGACCAAATTTAGTCAAAATCTATTCCGCCCTTCAGGACTAGTAGCGTTATAAAGGAAAAGTTGACGGCTGGACGGCCGACAGATGCTGCGGTATGGCATAAGCTCACCATGGTCCTATGGACCAGGTGAGCTAAAAATCATAAGAATAAATTACTTACAATACATACTATACATTCTGATTCTATACGTTTGGCACTTTGATCTAAATAATGAACGGATTATATTGATTATGGAATTTGTAATTGATAACTGGAATCGGGAAGGACATCATATCGACTTTTGATCATTATTGATCAGTAGCCATCACTACAGCATACCCCTTTGTTTGCAGCTGCAAATTGTAAAATTTTGGCCACAGATCCAAGGTTACGCCGCTGGTCATTGGTCAGTTGTTTGTCAGCGCCAACGTTGATAATGTCAAAGGCATCCGGAGCAACAATGGCTGAGTTAATATATCTGTAGTACAGCAGGTTTCCTACGATCTAAAACCAAGATTATAATGTTATACGTGCTGGAAACAACATCAGTAATGTTAATCACAAATTTCTGACTTATTTTAATTATAAACTTTAAAAAATATTATTTGGTATCCAAAATGATCATCTATATACTACTTTATACCACCTATCGGTAGCATGATAAATTCATTATCATCGGTTGTGAGTATGAGAGGTAGTTGAGAAGAACTTGAGAAGAACTTGAGAACGGATTTACCCATTCCCCAGGACTTGAGAACGGATTTTATGAAAAAAGAACGTCTGCTCACGCCAGATGATGTCCAAAACCGGAAATAGTATACACACAAAAGTGATCCGCGTGAGAAAATAGTCCGTCATAAACATATCAATACAAAGTAACGGAAAGTTTTGTGAGAATATCAACACCATTTCAGGTGTATATGTGCATATGGAAAAGCTAAAAGCGATCGGATTGTTTTAGAAATATTTGTTCTACGTAATTTTAAGGTTCATTATATTCCTTGCGCAAAACTTCTACTTTTTTACGTTTGTAACTGGCGATCGTTGACCATTGAGCTTAGAAGTAATTAGGAAAACATGGTGTTTAGTTGATTTTTTTGAATGGAGAAATATATAAGGTAGAAGTATATAGATGATACACAGTTTATCATACAGTATTCAGTGTTTATCGTTCGAACAATTTTCTCATCGCTCGTACGTAGATTAAATCTCAAGTCCACCTGCAGTGGCCTCTTAAATTTTATCCATATGCTCGCGATGAGAAAATTGTTATCACGGCAAACACTGAAAATACAGTGTGATAATCTATAATTATCAATTCCAGTAAAAGAACAATTGTGCATAATAAATCAATACATGTATCTGTAGAATTCTGAAGTATTAAAGTTCTGCTACAGATTTCCAGTCAGCTGTAAGTTTATATTATCCCTCTCCACCATTTTACCACTGTGTCTTTCCTTACCTTTAACACATCTTTTTCTGGTGCCTCTGGGAACTTGGTCATGAGTGCTTCCCTCAGAACCTTAGCCATGTAGCGCATGCCATACCTGTAATAAGGGGTTATATATCACACCTGTAATTAGGGGTTATATATCACACCTGTAATTAGGGGTTATATATCATACCTGTAATTAAGGGTTATATATATCACATCTATAATTAGGTGTTATATATTACCCCTGTAATTAGGGTTTACATATCATACCTGTAATAAGGAGGTTATATATCATACCTGTTATTAGGGGTTATATATCACACCTGTAATTAGGGGTTATATATCATACCTGTAATTAGGCGTTATATATCACACCTGTAATTAGGGCTTATATATATCACATCTGTAATTAGGTGTAATATATATCACATCTGTAATTAGGTGTTATAAATTACCCCTGTAATTAGAGTTAACGTATCATACCTGTAATTAGGGGTTATATATCATATCTGTAATTAGGGTTTACATATCACACCTGTAATTAGGAGTTATATATCACGCCTGTAATTAGGGTTTACATATCATACCTATAATTAAGTGTTATATATCATACCTGTAATTAGGGGTTACATATCACACCTGCAATTAGGGGTTATATATCACACCTATAATTAGGGGCTATGTACCTTACCTGAAACTAGGGGTTACATATCACCCCTATAATTAGGGGTTTCATATCACACCTGTAATTAGGTGTTACATATTACTCCTGTAATAAGGGTTAACCTATCATACCTGTAATTAGGGGTTATATATCATACCTGTAATTAAGTGCTATATATCATACCTATAATTAGGGGCTATATACCATACCTGTTATTAGGAGTTATATATCACACCTATAATTAGGGGCTATATACCATACCTGTTATTAGGGGTTATATATCACACCTATAATTAGGTGCTATATACATACCTTTATTACCCCTTTGAGAAAAATCTAGGAATCTGATTGGTTAAAAACTACAGTGTACCAAACCGCATTCGTAAATCTCAAGGGGTATACGAAAATCTCAGGGGGTATACGGTCATGTCACGTGATTCTCAGCAGTAATACGGTGGAATCACATGCTTTTACAAGGGGTATACGGGTCACGTGTCTTCGTATCTTGCGGCCGGGCAATGGGAGACAACTCGCATTCGTTGTCTGCTTCCGGCGATGTTTAAAAAATGACAAAACGTTTCGCTTCGCATACTGATGAGGAAATACTCGCCAAAATGGCTAATTATGTGCCACAAAACACACAAAAGTCGAACAGACGAGCGGCAAACATGCTGAGGACGTATTTAAAAGAAAAGAATCAGGAAGAACAGTTCGAGGAATTTGATACAACGAAACTAAATGAGGTAGATCTACTGTGTCATTTTGATCTTGACAACAGAAAAGTTGACGGGGAACTGTACAAAACCAATATAAAAGACTCAAAGGGGTAATAAATTCGTTACACGGATTTTTGGCAGGGTATACGGGATGGTATGACCCTACAGGATTTTGTATTTCCTTCGGCCGAATAGTATTTAGGTGTTACATATCACTCCTGTAATTAGTGTAACATATCACCCCTGTAATTAGGGGTTATATATCATACCTGTAATTAGGGGTTATATATCACACCTGTAACAGGAATACTGACAGGTCAGCAAGTGCCCCGCTGTATGCCAGACAGTGTATCTCCCGTATTCGCACCAAGCAAAATCAAAAGTTACATTTACTGTTCAGAAAGGACCATTTACAGTACATTTTTGACAGAATATGCCCTGTTCTATTTTGACAGTATAGGCCCTGTCCTATTTTGACAGTATATGCCCTGTTCTATTTGACAGTATAGGCCCTGTTCTATTTCGACAGTATATGCCCTGTTCTATTTTGACAGTATATTTATGCCCTGATCTATTTTGACAGTTTAGGCCCTGCTCTATTTTGACAGTATAGGCCTTGTTCTATTTTGACAGTATATGCCCTGTTCTATTTGACAGTATAGGCCCTGTTCTATTTTGACAATATAGGCCCTGTTCTATTTTGACAGTATATGCACTGTTCTATTTTGACAGTATATGCCCTGTTCTATTTTGTCAGTATAGGCCCTGTTCTATTTTGACAGAATAGGCACTGTTCTATTTTGACAGTATAGGCCCTGTTTTATTTTGACAGTATAGGCCCTGTTCTATTTTGACAATATATGCCCTGTTCTATTTTGACAGTATAGGCCCTGTCCTATTTTGACAGTATATGCCCTGTTCTATTTTGACAGTATATTTATGCCCTGTTCTATTTTGACAGTTTAGGCCCTGCTCTATTTTGACAGTATAGGCCCTGTTCTATTTTGACAGTATATGCCCTGTTCTATTTTGACAGTATATGCCCTGTTCTATTTTGACAGTATAGGCCCTGTTCTATTTTGACAGTATATGCCCTGTTCTATTTTGACAGTATATATATGCCCTGTTCTATTTTGAAGTAATGGCAACGTTGACCTTCAAAACTGTTTAAAGCCCTATTGAACATATACCATCTTGGCCTTCTGTAAGGGCCTTATCTGATGTATTTTTGACAGTATATTCCCAATTCAATTTTAAGTAACAGTGACCTTGACCTTAGAAACTTTTCAAACCCCTCCAGCACATCTTCTCATCACAGTGTATCGCCATGTGAAATTTCAGAAATTTTCAGAAATTTTGGCCATCTGGATCATGACATAATCTCCGGAAACAAAAGTGCTGATGGACAGACAGACGGACGGACCAACACTGTGATTACTATAGGGCACCCATATTTTGTGGGACCCTAATTAGGGGTTCCATATCACACCTGTAATAAGGTGGCAAGGAACTTGAGACAAAGAAGATTGTCAAGAGACTTTCAGGTGTCAGTGAACAACTGGTGACTTTTGGGACTTTTTTTAAGGTAGGGAGGAACTTCAGACAGCATTTGTGTAGTGACGGTATGATATTGATGAAGACCTTCAGACTTACGGGATTTTGTCCAGCGACTGTAGGATAGTGGTGAGAAACTTGTCAGTAACTTGCTGTAACTTGGTTTTCGACTGCTGGATCAGTTTCTGTACCTCATCGTGTGACAAAGCTTGTTCTATGGAGACATCATACGGTAACACGCTGAAAAATTCAAAGAATATGGTAAGGCAACACGCTGAAAAATTCAAAGAATATGGTAAGGCAACACCCTGAAAAATTCAAAGAATATGGTAAGGCAACATGCTGAATAACTTCCAAGATCAATTTACATATACAAACAAGTTTGATGTTCTGGTAGTCATCAGTGTTTTTTAACTGGCGTCGAAGTATCTACCTTTAGAGCATGTGATAATTTCGGAAGGGCTGCACATACAAATGAAGTTATGTTTAGGTCCGAGTAGTGCACAGCAGTATCATGTGTGGTGGTATGTATTTAAGTTTAGTTCCCAGTAGTGCACAGCAGTAGTATGTGTGGTGGTTACAGAGATAATATAATTGTAAAGACAGTCAGATATAGGTGATTCTTTTAAGCTTTTTTTTTTTATATACAAATGTTGAATGTGAAATATAATCAGGTAATGAGAATTATGAAAGTATGTTGATACTTTACCTGGATTAAGTTGAGACTCTGTCAGGTTGATCCCTTACCTGGCTGTTCTCTTACCTGGTTTATAAGTTTGAGACTCTGTCTGGTTGAACCCTTACCTGGCTTTACCAGTTTGAGACTCTGTCTGGTTTATCCCTTACCTGGCTTTACCAGTTTGAGACTCTGTCTGGTTTATCCCTTACCTGGCTTTACCAGTTTGAGACTCTGTCTGGTTGATCCCTTATCTGGTTTTACCAGTTTGAGACTCTGTCTGGTTTATCCCTTACCTGGCTTTACCAGTTTGAGACTCTGTCTGGTTTATCCCTTACCTGGCTTTACCAGTTTTAGACTCTGTCTGGTTTATCCCTTACCTGGCTTTACCAGTTTGAGACTTTGTCTGGTTGAACCCTTACCTGGCTGTTCTCTTACCCGACTTTTCCCGTTTGAGACTCAGTCTGGTTGATTCCTTACCTGGCTTTACCAGTTTGAGACTCTGTCTGGTTGATCCCTTACCTGACTTTTCCCATTTGAGACTCTGTCAGGTTGAACCCTAACCTGACTATAAAAGTTTGAGACTCTGTCAGGTTGAACCCTAACCTGACTATAAAAGTTTGAGACTCTGTCAGGTTGAACCCTTACCTGGCTTTTCCCATTTGAGACTCAGTCTGGTTGAACCCTTACCTGGCTGTTATCTTACCTGACTTTTCCTGTTTGAGACTCTGTCTGGCTGTTCCCTTACCTGGCTTTACCAGTTTGGGACTCAGTCTGGTTGATCCATGACTTGTACACATCCGTGGGGTTAGTATTGATGTGTAGATTTTTGTCCTCGATGACCTCTGTAACTAGTGGATTTAACATTTCTCTCAAAGAATTCTGACCTCGCTGATTCCTATAAACAAAGATTGTTTTTTTGTTGTTATTTTAAAGCATTATAATTATTTCATATTTTTCTTTTCATCATGTTGGCAACTTTCTGAAGGTGTCTATCTGATACTTTTCTTCATTTCATCTTATTTAACGTACAAACAAAAGTTAATTACCTTTGGAAAGTGATAACCAACAATTGTCTCTAAATAAAGATAAAACAATTATCCTGTTAAGGGGTATGACACATGTTCATACTAGCCAACTAGCAAACCAGGGTTTTAATGCTGACAAACTCAAGGACAACCAGTTGTACCAAACTCTAGACCTCACACACAACCTGGTCTGTCAAACTCTAGACCTCACAGAAAACCAGGTCTGACAAACTATAGACCTCACATACAACCTGGTCTGTCTAACCCTAGACCTCACACACAACCTGGTCTATCTAACCCTAGACCTCACACACAACCTGGTCTGTCAAACTCTAGACCTCACACACAACCAGGTCTGACAAACTATAGACCTAACTGACAACCAGGTCTGTCAAACTATAGACCTCACAAACAACCAGGTCTGACAAACTCTAGACCTAACACACAACCAGGTCTGACAAACTCTAGACCTCAAACACACAATCAGGTCTGACAAACTATAGACCTAACTGACAACCAGGTCTGTCAAACTATAGACCTCACACACAACCAGGTCTGTCAAACTGTAGACCTCGCACACAACCAGGTCTGTCAAACTCTAGACCTAACACACAACCAGGTCTGACAAACTCTAGACCTCAAACACAACCTGGTCTGACAAACTATAGACCTAGCTGACAACCAGGTCTGTCAAACTATAGACCTCACACACAACCAGGTCTGTCAAACTGTAGACCTCGCACACAACCAGGTCTGTCAAACTTTAGACCTCACACACAACCTGGTCTGTCAAATTTTAAACCTCGCACACAACCAGGTCTGTCAAATTTTAAACCTCGCACAAAATCAGGTCTGACAAACTGTAGACCTCGCACACAACCAGGTCTGTCAAACTGTAGACCTCAGACACACAATCAGGTCTGTCAAACTTTAAACCTCGCACACAACCTGGTCTGTCAAATTTTAAACCTCGCACACAACCAGGTCTGACAAACTATAGACCTCAGACACACAATCAGGTCTATCAAACTTTAAACCTCGCACACAACCAGGTCTGACAAACTTTAGACCTCACACACAACCTGGTCTGTCAAATTTTAAACCTCGCACACAACCAGGTCTGTCAAACCGTAGACCTCAGACACACAATCAGGTCTGTTAAACTTTAAACCTCGCACACAACCTTGTTTGTCAAATTTTAAACCTCGCACACAACCAGGTCTGACAAACTATAGACCTCAGACACACAATCAGGTCTGTCAAACTTTAAACCTCGCACACAACCTGGTCTGACAAACTATAGACCTCAGACAAATAGGTCTGAAAAGGTGTAGACCTCACTGATTACTGGGGCCGTCAAACTTTACAGACCTCACATACACGACATACAATAAATTGCTAGGACCACCCTCCTATACCTTACCTGTTGAATCCTACAATCATTTTCACTACAAGTGGATTTCCTGTCACAAAGTCAGACATCTTGTCTACCTTTAGTCTGTAAAGAAAAACAATCATAGAAACTGACCATTCTCTACCTAGTTCAATCAGACAGTACTGAGTTCTACCTAGTTCAATCAGACAGTACTGAGTTCTACCTAGTTCAATCAGACAGTACTGAGTTCTACATAGTTCAATCAGACAGTACTGAGTTCTACATAGTTCAATCAGACAGTACTGAGTTCTACATAGTTCAATCAGACAGTACTGAGCAGTAATACAAAAATATCAAGTTTGTACATCACATAAAACAAGTATGGTCATCTGATAGTTTTAATATCTATGATGGAGAAAAAAAAATAAGAAATTGTTCGACTATCCAATAAAGCATTTTCATCCTCCACACTTTGAAATAAAAGTTAAATATTATTAAAGCTTGTAAAAAATATCACAAAATTTCAATAAAGGTTGAGAACAAATGACATAGTTCTGTATTTTAAGGTAAAATCTAGCCCAGCTACAACCCAGTGCTACACTCCCGAGTAACAGCCTCTACCAAGGTTAATGGGACCATTGGCCTAGTAGCCTCCTTACAGTTAGCTACTTCTCCTTGTAATATTAATTTGTCTACTGTCTTGTCATCCTCCCTCATGTAAACACTCTAAAGCCATTTCTCACTGACCCTTGAACAGACGTTCAAAAGCCATTCCTCGATTCCTTAGTCCTAGAAAAACTCCAGACACTTGACATTATCACATCAAAACTGTAACTAGTTCTCGCCTTACAACCAGTAACAAAATTCATAGTTTATCTTTAGACAAGTTGTATGCCATTTTAAAGTTGTAGAGGAAGTATTTTTAATCAAATTTGCCAGTGTTTTCTTACCTGGTGACAAGTAAAATGAGGTCAGGCTTGAGAGATTCTGTTAAATAATTATTGAGTAATCACTACAAAGCCATGGGCCCAGAGTTCATGAAAGATTTCAGACAGAAACCCAAAATTTGAAATGTTCAATACCAAGTTTCATTTTATATCAAAATGGGAATGTATGCACATGGTCATTAAGTAAATATTTACAGTTTCACCTAATTTTAATTGATTTCAAATAAAAAGATAATTTGAAATTCGGACTTGCACACAAGACTCTTTGATGATCCTGAGGTTATAGACATGTCAAGGTCTTGAATGGTGTTATTCCAAGTAAAGTGTTCACAGTATACGTGGTATAACTGTATAATCTATCCTTGACAATATCATATTACAATGTCACATCTCGAGCACTACTTCTCCAAAGCTCATCAACGAATTTGACCGATGATTAGAATTTTGTGTCTTTGCTATGGCTCAGGACATAGGAAGTTGGGTGGAACAAAGACAAAGGTAAGAAGTAAGGCTGACCTCAGTAAAAAGAAAAAAAAAAAAAAAAAGTGAGCAGGAGTTCATAAAAATATAAACTCAATACTACCATACTCTAGTGTAAAAATAAACTCAATACTAGCATACTCTAGTGTAAATATAAACTCAATACTACCATCCTCTAGTGTAAAAATAAACTCAATACTACCATTCTCTAGTGTAAATAAACTCAATACTACCATTCTCTAGTGTAAATAAACTCAATACTACAATACTCTAGTGTAAAAATAAACTCAATACTACCATTCTCTAGTGTAAATAAACTCAATCCTACCATACTCTAGTGTAAATATAAACCCAATACTACCATACTCTAGTGTAAATAAACTCAATACTACCATATTCTAGTGTAAGTATAAGCTCAATACTACAATACTCTAGTGTAAAAATAAACTCAATACTACCATTCTCTAGTGTAAATAAACTCAATCCTACCATACTCTAGTGTAAATAAACTCAATACTCCCATACTCTAGTGTAAGTATAAGCTCAATACTACCATCCTCTAGTGTAAAAATAAACTCAATACTAGCATACTCTAGTGTAAATATAAACTCAAGACTACCATACTCTAGTGTAAATATAAACCCAATACTACCATACTCTAGTGTAAATAAACTTAATACTACCATACTCTAGTGTAAGTATAAGCTCAATACTACCATCCTCTAGTGTAAAAATAAACTCAATACTACCATTCTCTAGTGTAAATAAACTCAATACTACCATATTCTAGTGTAAGTATAAGCTCAATACTACAATACTCTAGTGTAAAAATAAACTCAATACTACCATTCTCTAGTGTAAATAAACTCAATACTACCATATTCTAGTGTAAGTATAAGCTCAATACTACCATCCTCTAGTGTAAAAATAAACTCAATACTACCATTCTCTAGTGTAAATAAACTCAATCCTACCATACTCTAGTGTAAATAAACTCAATACTACCATACTCTAGTGTAAGTATAAGCTCAATACTACCATACTCTAGTGTAAATATAAACTCAATACTACCATACTCTAGTGTAAATATAAACTCAATACTACCATACTCTAGTGTAAATATAAAAGTGTTTAGTAGTTGATGACATATTTGTACACAAGCTATTTACTATGGATGGCCTGACAGATGGGTGCATTGACAAAGTGATCACGATCATTATATAGTTCTCACTAGCTAGGGAGGTATAAAATTAGTAAATAAGTCGAGGAAAAAGCCGCGCAATTACCAAACTGACCACACATAAAGGGGAGGGGGATATGGCAACAAGACAGGAAAACCACACAGGAGAAAATAATATGATAAAAGATAAAACGAAAATACAACATAAACAACTATATGCATTTTAGGACTGCCACACCAAGTATAGCATTAGAACCCGCGGATATATTTCAGATGAAACAAAGCAAAATAAGTTTTAGATAAAGTATAAATAGGTAGGTTTGTAAATAACATGCATCATATTGACTTTCCCTGGTTAAAAATATCAACCAACCAGAAGGTAGTTACTAGCGGTTACCATGGAAGCGGAAACGATGGCTCTGGTCAGCCTAAACCAGGGATAAATATAACCTAGCAAATACTGAAATATTTGCTGTACATTCAGATTTCTTGTAAATAAATTAGGAGGTTGTATGATAATCTTGGTATATATGATTAAAATGAATTGATTTTCTTTTGTAGTTTCTTTTTTATTCAAAAGCATGTGATATCTAAAGCTGTGCGGTTGTTTTAGGGCTCTGCCAATGTGCCAACGTTTTCTGTCCCGTACATTATCTATGGGATATGTTTGTGCTGTGATGAAAACTCCTTGTGATGCTGTGCTAAATTTCTTGCAATTACAAAAATAAGCATTGAGAATATTCACGGGTCAAGTTTACAGGATTAGGTGTGTTGTGTCTCACCGATATACAAAACACTGTCAGACAGAACTATCAGAAATGTAAATTTTGTTGGATTTTAAAATATGTACAAAAATGTCTGTTTCCAGGACTCCACATAGCATGTTACTGATGGGCATGCACACTAAACTCTTCGTGCTTGCTGAGAGAGAAAGTAGAAGTTAGATACTGCCATCCCTAGCTGGAGCCAACACATTGAACATTTCAGTGTTTCGTCCCACAGCATTACAAAGACTCTTTATCAGAATCTCCAATTTTTCATTAATTTATATTAAAGATTAACAGAACTTTATATGATACCTTTAGAGCTCAAAATACAGGTAGACTTTGAAAACTATTTTATCATGTACAAAATACTTTATATCAGAAAAAAACACCTGCATACTGTTGTTATTTTTGAACATCAACATTTTTTTTTTTAATTTACTTTTTTAACATATTTTCTTCAATATAAATAATTGTGTGCCAGGCAGCAGCTAGTTAATACAAGTGCTAGGATGTCCGATATACTTGTTTATAACAAAAACAAAACTCATGCTACTTTGGAATATTCATCCATAAATACTTACATTCGTCTGCAAGTTCAGAAAGGTTAAGATATCGAGATTACTTTGAGAGAAATTGATAATATAAACTATGGCGGTGTATTATCATAATGCATTCAAGGATGTATGCCACCTTATACATTATAGCAGAAATTTGTGGTAGAGTTATCTCCCTTATTTCACATTGATATAGTTATCTCCCTTATTTCACATTAATATAGTTATCTCCCTTATTTCACATCAAAGTTACCCAAATGTTAGCATTGAAGAATTTGTTTGTTCTTTTCAATACATCATCAATCAATTGTACAAAATCCAAATAAAATCACATAAGATCTTCTGGAAGGGAGATAATTTCAGTAAGGTAGCATAGATCCTTAACATTCCAAGGCGTAAATCAGGTATTGGTAACATTATGATACAGCATAACATACTTATATACATGGCTACAACTGATCATATCAATCTACACATATTCTGATGACAGCTTACACAATATATTCTGATGACATCCTACACAACACATTTACATGACAACCTATTTTAAAGAAAATCTACACAACACATTTCGTTAACAACCTACAAAACTTATTTTGAAGACACCCTACTCAACACATTTTGATGACATCAAACAAACCATGCTTTAAATAGAATATATTTTAATGACAACCTAAACAACATGCTTTGATGAGAATTTACACAACAATTATTTTAATGGCCTCCAATGCAACATATCAACCTACACAACACAGTTTGATGACAAATTACATAACATATTTTTATGATAACCTACACATTATTTCATGACAAACTACACATGTTTTAGTGGGACTGACTTTGAATGTCTTTAAAAATCAGATGTCTTTTTTTACTGTTAAAATTAAGTTCTACTTATTGATATACTACTACAGGAAAATATAGTTTTACAATGAACATTATGTGACTATAGTAACTGTAAACATACACTATATCTGTGTAACTATGGTAACTGTAAACATACACTATATCTGTGTAACTATGGTAACTTAACTCATACACTTTCTGTAACTACAGTGACTGTACCTATTCATTAAATCTATGTAACTATGGTAACTCTAAACAAAACAATTTATGTAACTAGGGTAGCTATAGACTTACACTACATCAATGTAACTGTAGCACACTGTACATGTATCTATGTAACTATGGTAACTGTTTACATACATTAATGTAACTATAGTAAAGGAGGCATACTCTATATATCTATGTAACTATGGAAACTGATTACATACATTAATGTAACTATGGTAAGGGAGACATACTCTATATATCTATGTAACTATGGTAACTGATTACATACATTAATGTAACTATGGTAAGGGAGACATACTCTATATATCTATGTAACTATGGTAACTGATTACATACATTAATGCAACTATGGTAAGGGAGACATACCCTAAATCTATTTAACTATGGTAACTGATTACATACATTAATGTAACTATATTTAGGGAGGCATAACCTATATTGATTGAAATATAGTAAAGGAGGCATACCCTATATCTTTGTAACTATTGTAACTGTTGACATACACTGATGTAACTATGGTTACTGTAGACTTACGCTATCTCTTCCTCCAGAGCTTTCCTGAACAGTTTCAGCAGCAGGTATTCCTCCCTCTGGTTAGAGCCATAGTTAAACAGCGAGTAAATCACAGACTCCATGAACTTGGTTGTGCGGCTCTGGGGCATCTCAAAGATGAGCTTTGCAAGGTAAGTTGGATTTGTTTGCAGTAGATAGAAGAGGTACTGGTAGGCCTCGAGTCGGTCGTGACAATCTTTACTGAGGCCTTTTAGACCTTTAGGGACACTCTGGCTCATCTCCTTGTGTTTTGTCAGCTTTTTGTCGTGGGTAACTACATCCTGAGTGAGACAACCAAAGAACAATAGACAATCAACAGGTCATGCTTAACGTGAGATATCAACTCTATCACAATAAGATAACTTTACAGAAGATATTCAATAGCTCTATATACTCGATTAGCACAGCTAGCAATTATTATTGGCACAAAATGCATTGTGACAATTTCATTTCCAGAGATACTTTGATCCTTTCCTGTAGGGACATGATGCTGCTTCCACCTAGAAGTTACTTCTGTAGTAGGATCCTCTTTTGATGATAAGTCCTCATCTGTAGGGAAATAGGGAAATCCAGGTTTTGATGAGAAGTCCTTACCTGTAGGGTAATCCTGTTTTTGATGAGAAGTCCGATTTTGATATCCATGGTATCCAAGTCGTGCTCTAGCTTTTGAGTTGACCGGATCTCTGTCACCACCTGCTGTCTCAGCTTCTGAAGCTCTACAAGATTACGAGAGGTTCACGGGGCTTTACATATTTAGAATATTTCTGGACAAAATGTCAGACACAACCAAATTTTCTTTCCAGTCAAATTTTATATGCCTTCCTCTAAATACTGTTAAGGATATATGCTACCTGACACATTATACCCATGACCTAAGCTATCTCCGCTAAAATGCTTTAATTTGCACTATCTGATTTACCTGAGTAATATCAATGTATGTATTGTTATGCACCTTTTCAAAGCATGTCATCAATTCTTGTGTACCTTACTAAGTGTGTCAACAATTCTTGTGTACCTTATTAAGTGTGTCATCAATTCTTCTGTACCTTTCACATCTGTCATCAATAACATGTCTACATTTCTATTGATAACAAATATCCTACACACTATTATGTGTGTGAATAGGATATTAATGCCACTGAAAATTTGCACATATCATTAATCACTTCCATTTCCCAAATTTATGAATTCAAATATCTGTTTATTGTAAATAGGCTGAATTCATAATTTCCAAACCATTTCTTATATATGTCACTTGTAAAATGAAATTTGTGAAAATATTGACAATAACATCCTGGAGATAATTTACCTATTTCTTCAGAGTAGTCCACATCACTGGTGTCCAGCAGATGGACAAACTTCTGAACGACACTGAGCGGAGGGTTTTCTTCATGCACTGAAAGATCACATTTTATTTCAGTATAAATTCTTTTGCCTGAAATATCAGTCATTGAGATGACTAAATCTTATACAATAGAAATAAACACAATCTCTTAGACAGGTCTGAATATTTTATCTAAATCACATTGCAATTAAAATCCTATCTTTGGTATTCTTAGTACACATCTATGACCAAGTATTAAACAAAGCGTACACCTTTGAGTGCATATACGCTTCACTGGTCATTTGTCTGATGATGGTGACAGTGTACATACCCTTCACTGGTCATTTGTCTGATTATTGTGACAGTGTACTTACAATTTTTTGGTCATTTGTCTGATGATGGTGCCAGTGTACATACACTTCACTGGGCCTTTGTCTGATGATGCTGACAGTGTCCATACACTTCACTGGTCATTTGTATGATGATGGTGACAGTGTACATAAACTTCACTGGTCATTTGTCTGACGATGGTGACAGTGTACATACACTTCGCTGGTCATTTGTCTGATGATTGTGACTGTGTACATACGCTTCACTGGTCTTTTGTCTGATGATGGTGACAGAGTACATACACTTCACTGGTCATATGTCTGATGATGGTGACAGTGGACATACACTTCACTGGTCATTTGTATGATGATGGTGACAGTGTACATACACTTCACTGGTCATTTGTCTGATAATGGTGACAGAGTACATACACTTCACTGGTCATTTGTCTGATGATGGTGACAGTGTACAAACACTTTACTGGTCATTTGTCTGATGATGGTGACGGTGTACATACACTTCACTGGTCATTTGTCTGATGATGGTGACAGTGTTCATGCACTTCACTGGTCATTTGTCTGATGATGGTGACAGTGTACAAACACTTTACTGGTCATTTGTCTGATGATGGTGACAGTGTCCATACACTTCACTGGTCGTCATTTGTCTGATGATGGTGACAGTGTACATACGCTTCACTGGTCATTTGTCTGATGATTGTGACAGTGTACATACGCTTCACTGGTCATTTGTCTGATGATTGTGACAGTGTACATACGCTTCACTGGTCATTTGTCTGATGATTGTGACAGTGTACATACGCTTCACTGGTCATTTGTCTGATGATTGTGACAGTGTACATACGCTTCACTGGTCATTTGTCTGATGTTGGTGACAGTGTACATACACTTCACTGGTCATTGGTCTGATGATGGTGACAGTGTACATACGCTTCACTGGTCATTTGTTTGATGATGGTGACAATGTACATACGCTCCACTGGTCATTTGTCTGATGATGGTGACAGTGTACATACACTTCAATGGTTGTCATTTGTCTGATGATGGTGACAGTGTACAAAACGTACAAGTTATCGAAACGTCACATAGAAAAGCTTATTGGTTGCAATTGTGTAAACACCTAATGCCCTGTCAACTGTTATAAGGGCATAACAATATAGCTAACACCTATTGCCCTGTCAAGTGTTATTAGGGCATAACAATAAAGCTAACACCTGTAGACAGGTATGTAGATGATAATCCCATTACATTGTACACTAACTCTTTTCCAGTTGACCAATCTTGACCTTTAATCAAATGTACACTTACTCAACGCCTTGTAGTCATGCTTGGCTTTGTTTGAACGCACAAACGCCTGAATTTTTATAACCTCAGCTTCCTGTAAAATAACATTTAGATCAATTTTTTAAAATGTGTTTGTCACTTGAAGTTAAATCTCTCTCAATAAATTCTTTTTCTGCATAGCTTTCTGTTTTCTAATAACATGTTAAAATATTTCTCACAACAAAGACATCTCCACAGCAATGATTTGTATCCCATAATATATACAAATCGAGTTCTGTAGTGATGGAATTGTGGTACAAACATAATCTTAAACAAGAGGCCCAATGGGCCTGCATCGCTTACCTGGTATTAATCTAACATTTATCTTAAAAGTGGACTAAAAAACAGCTACAGGCAGAAGATCAGTGTTTGATTCATAAGACCCTATTAAAAGATTTCAACATATGACGCCTGTGACCTTGAATGTCGAGCAAGGACATTAGGTTGAAAGTGGGTCAAGGTCATTCATTTAAACAAACTAAGTAACCCTTCATCCCAGCATGCTACAGGCCAAATATCATCAGCCTGGAGCTCTTGGTTATGCCGCACCATGCCATAAGCTCACTTGGCCCTTTGGGCCAGGTAAGCTAAAAAGAATTGATTCTCTAAATATTGCTTTGTTGTTCAAAAAAAATAAATATGTTGCAATCTTTTAATGAAACATTTCAGAGTAAATAATTCAGCCAAAATATTTGTCACCGATTGTGTTTGAGATTTGAACATAGGTTTTTTAAATTTAGTTTCATTTTTTTTTTTTTATATATTTCTTCTATCAATGGTATCCAGAAAGAGAAACACAAGTTAATCTGTAAGTAAACTCTCCTTAAATTTGTTGGTATTTTTTACACTGAAATCTACTTACATGATCTTTAAAGAATTTCACTCGATTGCGGTATTTGGCTGCCTGTCTCCACATACGAATAACAGATTGTAGCTGGAATCACAAAACAGTCCTTGTTAAGGTAATGAACTCATCCTAGTATAAATCTTATTTCCTATACCTATATACATACACCTATACACATACATCTATATACATACACCTATAAACACACACCTATATACATACACCTATACACACACATCTATATACATACACCTATACACACACATCTATATACATACACCTATA